GCCACTCATATTAGTAAACTCGAAAACATCGCATTTCGACTGAAATCTCTGGATCATGACATCGATGAATCAATGCTCATGTCTAAAATACTTGTAACTTTGCCAGAAATTTATAAGTACTTCTTATGTGCCTGGGAATCTACTGCAGCCAGTGATAAGAATCTGACAAATCTTACAGCAAGATTACTTGCCGAAGAATCTCGTTTCCAATCTGATGATCAAGAAGTATCAGCCGCATTCAGATCTTCAGAAATGAAATGTAATTTTTGCCAAGGTAAACATCCAACGCGCTATTGCAAGAATAAAACATCCAGACCACAGTATCCAGCATGTAGTATTTGTGGTAAAAATAATCATCAAGAGAGGCATTGTTTCTTTCGGAATAGGAATGTATACAATGAAAATAATCAACAAACCAGAAATGATGTTGAAAGAAAGGTAGCATTCCTGACCGATACTGAAGATGTTAAATCAACTTCATGTGAAAATTGGATAGTCGATTCGGGTTCATCTTCTCATATGACCAATAATAGATTTCTTTTTACGAAAATTCAAGAAGAATCTTCATTGATTGCTGTTGCCAAAGAATCGGAAACCATGATATCAAAAGGTGTTGGAACCATTGAGTTCACAAACTGTATTTTGAAGAAAGTTTTATATGTACCAGAACTTTCCAGAAACTTATTGTCAGTGAAAGCTATTACCGAAAATGGGGGTGAAGTACAATTCACCTCGTCAAAAGTTCATATTTTTGTTGAAAATAAAGAAGTTTTACAAGGAGAAAAAAATAAAAATGGAACATATTTTGAAATTGAAGAAATACGAGGAAAAAGCCTTTGCAGTTGAAGAAAATAACAGTGCTTCTGAATGGCATCGAAAATTAGCCCATCTCAGCATCTCTAATATGACTAGACTCTTGAAGTTATCATCTGCTATGAATATATCCGAATCAGAAATCCAAAATTTAGAACAAGTTTGTGAAACTTGCATGAAGGCTAGACAAACAAGAAAACCATTCGGAGAAGAAAGAGTACGTGCTACTAGACCCCTAGAAATTCTTCATACTGATATTTGTGGACCATTTGATCCTGTCACTTGGGATAACAAAAACTATTTTCTGACACTTCTTGATGACTTCACTCATTTTGTCAAAATCTTTCTAATTCAATATAAAAGTGAGGTAGCAGAAGTTATTAAAGAATATATTGAGGAAGCAGAAGCTTACTGGAATTTGAAAACATCCAAAATCAGGTGTGATAATGGTGGAGAATATGTTAACAGAAATTTTCAAAACTGGTGCAGAAGAAGAGGAATTATTTTGAACCATACAATTCCTTATACACCTCAACTCAACGGGAAAGCTGAGCGATTGAATCGCACAATAATGGATAGAGCCAGGTCATTGATATTCGACTCTCATTTGAAGAAAGAAATGTGGGGAGAAGCTGTCCTTTGTAGTGGATACATCTTGAATAGAAGTCCAACAGATGCATTGAACGTGACTCCTGCAGAAAAATGGTTCAAGAGACGGCCAAATTTATCGAATCTTCAAATTTTTGGTTCTACTGCATTCGCTAAAGTTTTGGGTCATCTGAAGAAATTGGAAAATAGAAGTAAAACATATTTATTCGTTGGCTATGCAATGAATGGTTATAGACTTTGGGATAGTGAGAGCAGGAAAATCATCCTATCACGAGATGTAATTTTTCGAAATATTGAACCAACTGAAATTCAATCTTCTGAGAATTGCATCAAATTGAGAAATTGTGATTATTTAGATGAACATAAAAAAGATGGAAGTGAACTACAATCGAAAGAGGCAGAATCAGATAACAGGCATGATATTTGTTTTGAAGAAAATGACATTCCAGAAAAAATACCAGATAGTGATCTAGAGGAAATAACAAAACATGATTTACATTCAGTGAACCAGGTGAAAGTTGATGAAAATAGTAAAAACAGCGATGGCAGTGAAGAGAAAACTAAACGTTTATCAAAATTACCAGCTAAATTCGAAGATTATGTTGTCTATAATCATCTTGCCATGATGACATACGAAGAAGCAGTCTCAGGTCCAGAAAAACTAAAATGGATTCGAGCAATTGAAGATGAGAAGAAATCTCTGGAGAAAAATAATACCTGGAAATATATTGAGGACTCTGAAATTAATGGCAAGAAATGCTTGACAAGTAAGTGGATTTTCACAATAAAAGAAGATGGCAGGTATAAAGCCCGTCTTGTGGTTAGAGGATTCGAGCAAGAATATGGAATAGATGCGTTGGCTGCTCAACGAAAATTCTTCATAGTGAAATTTGATGTAAAAACAGCTTTTCTATACGGCGAATTAGAAGAAGATATCTTCATGTTGGTTCCGGAGGGATATGATGTTGAGAATAAAGTATGCCAACTAAAGAGATCGCTTTATGGTTTGAAACAATCACCTCTGAAATGGAATCAGAGATTTTCCTCATTTCTGAGAAAAAGTAAGCTTGAATCCATTAAAAGTGAGCAATGTATTTTCAAGAATGAAATTGGATCTTTGATATTAGCCATTTATGTAGATGATGGGATTTTGATAGGAAAAGACAACAGAGAAATTCAATCCTTACTAACTGAACTAAAATCTGAATTCGAAATGGTAATTAGCCAAGACATGAATTCATTTTTAGGAATAAAAATTGAAATTAGTTCGGATTACATAAAAATCAGTCAACCAGAATACTCTAATAAGGTTTTGGAAAAATACAGAATGCAAGATTCCAAGCCGACTGCAACACCTATGTTACCAGATAGATTTGATGAAAAAGGAGAATATCACCAGACAAATTTTCCATACAGAGAAACGATTGGGAGCCTCCTGTATATCTCAAACAAAACTCGACCAGATATGGCGTTTGCAGTTAGCTATGGAAGCAGACATCTAGAAAATCCGTCAGAATCAGATGTGACAAATGTCAAAAGAATGTTGAGATATTTAAATGGAAATACTCAACTTGGGATAAAATATTATTCAAGCTGTGGAAACCAAATGAACCTAGATGCGTTTTGTGATGCAGATTACGCAGGAGAAGTACAACTGGATATGTAATATTATTCTGCGGTGGACCTATAGCTTGGTGTTCCCGTAAGCAACCTATTACAGCGTTATCCAGTACTGAAGCTGAATATATTGCAGCAGCAGATTGTTGTAAGGAAGTTCTTCATCTGAAAACCCTTATCGAAGAAATAATCTCAAAAAAGGTTGAAGTGACTCTTCATGTGGACAATCAGAGTTCTATAAAGCTTATCAAGAATGGTGTCATCAATAGAAGAAGCAAGCACATCGATGTACGATATCATTTCATACATGAGAAAGTTACTGAAAAACTCATCAACATAGTGTATTGTCCAAGTGAAGATCAAGTAGCAGACATTCTTACGAAACCGCTACATTCAACGAAGTTTTCGAAACACAGAGACAAATTAATTTCATAATATTATTGTATATCTATCTACTTAGCAGTTCTTGTACATATTGTTGAATTAAGGGAAGGTGTTGAGAATAATCCAGCAATATGTGCATTCGATATTCATGTTGATGGTAGTTATGGTTTTGGAATAATAAATAATAAAAAATAAAATAAATTTGAAAAAGTTCTTCATTCGATTCTGCGAGTCTCTATATCATTTATCAAGAATAGCGACCTGAAAGTAGTTAAACCTCCAGAAATAAGAGAGGTGGCAAAAAATATAGAGTTGAATTTGTTGCCGGAGAAGTCTCGGATGAAATATGAAGGAAATTATAAACGATTTATGGATTATTAATTTTGATGATACATATCTATCAGCAAAGTAACAACTTTGCTGCCTAGGCAGGAAACGTAATACTTTGCTGATTGATATGTGCCAGCAAAATTAATATTTGCTTCCATCGAAAAAAAATAATTTTGAAGTGAGCGAGCAAGCGTTTATGTTCGGTGCTGTGGGTCTTGAAACGCTTGAAACAGAACGTCTCAGGGGTTGAGTGTGGTTGAAAGAATAATTCGGAACTAGAGGCGGAGATTGGGGCACTGATAATTCACTTGCAATTTTGGGAGAATTGTTCAGTATCACCTGCGTCTGAGATAACATAAAACAATATTAGTTGGCAGTGGAGACAAAGGAATTGACATTGGAATTGATGGAGGGGGGCGTCATATATTGAACATTTATTGAGAAACAATGTTCTGCCTTTGTTTCCACTGTATACTGAATTTTATTATAATGATATCAAACTTTTACAAGGCATTTCTGTGAGCATTATTCAACACGCCAAGTGTCTGTCTTTCCACTACGAGAAAGAAGAATACACCTTGGAGAAAACATACAACTCTGATCGGAAATCCAAGCTACCGTTATTTTTTATCGCCCCAGGCCACTACAAACCATATCCCTCAAGAAATGTACGTAAATCGTGTTACTCTACTAGCATACATGCTGCGAACAGCAAAACAACCCTTCTACAGTTTGTTTCTGATTTTTCTGATCACTGAAAGAAGGATTATACTACAAAATGAATCTATGTAGAATTTCATTCAATTTGTTTCTCTCATTTTTGAACAGCGTACTTTGAACCCGTTTCACGAAAAAACGGTACATTTCCTTATATAAATGAGTTGGGTCCAAACAACTGATTTTGAACTGCATACCACGTGGTAGCTTTGTGTCCCAGCACATTTTGCGACACCCTGTATCTACCTCATGCAGTCTTAGTGCTCAGTACCCAACAGATATTTTGAATGAGATGAGCTCTATATAAAATCTATATAAATATGCTCTGATCTCTTCATAGGCTCTCAGAATAGTTCCAATCGGTCATTGCAAATAGATAATACCCCAAGTCTGATGAATAAATAAATTTCTTCGTTTTCCTTCTGACTCTCTGAAAAAGTATAGGAATAGTCAGGTTGTTACAAATATCATCGGGTACTGATGGATTTAATGGATGACTATAACCAATACCAATCAATTATTAAACTTACCTACATTCTCCTGGTTTCTTGCAATATCCTCTCTCCTTGTGACACGTTGATGAGCAAATAGCTAAAAATAAAAAGAGGATATTTAAAGCATTATTGGAAAAAAATAATAAGCTTTCTTTATGTTTGTCAGGATATCCAACCTCGCAACCTCCAATTATGTTAACAACTGGGAATGCTCACAATATAGGTATGTAATTTTGTATGAAATATCTATGATAACGATTGATCGGAAATGACCTCATGGCATGATATTCTTTGATGACAGTATTGTACTATAGACGTCATCTAATAATCAATTCCAACTGTAAAAGAACAGAAGAAAAGAAATAATAATTTCGATCATAAATTATTCGTATATTCAGTAGGATATTGGAGAATTCAATTATTTATTTCGTCATACTGAAATTTTTATCGACATATTACATCCAGAACTACACACACTGGCACAATTAGGGGAACGGGCAAAATTTACACTCAGTTTGACATCAATTTTCTTTCGAACCGATTGCTCGATTCAATTTTCTTTCTTCACGAAATGTAGCTTCATTCTTCACGAATACATCTGAGAAATAATCACCTTCAAAAGATGAGTCTTTCCATCATATACAGGGGTGTAAAGAAAGTACGGATTTTTCAGTATTTTTTTAGACATCCTGTGGACTGAATCACTGATAATTGAAACGATTTCTCAACACCAAATTGGAGCCCAATCTATTCCGAATATTTTCGTTTTTTATTCATCTTGATATCTCAATTATTCAAGAAAATACAGAGTTTCAAAGGAAAGGTGGATATTGGTATCAATTTTACACCTCAAAACTCAAATTGGATCTGAAAATGTGCCGTTTCTTGACTAACCTAACCTAACCATGACTAAACCTCTACCATAGGAGACAGAAGCAGTGAAATCAAATTGTTCATTTTGTTCACCTCGGCGATATAGTCTTTCCCTGTCATCTATTGAATTGGTGCAGATGCGGCTCTCATATGTTAAAAGAACATTGGCCTACTGGTCATTTTCAATTAATGCTACAGCCCTCGCCACATCAGTAGGAGTCAAATCTCTCATGTTGAATTTTCATTACTGAAAATCGCTTGACTTTGACAATAATTAATGACATTAACAAAATAGCCAACGTTGATTAACAAAAATAGCATTTTACCAAAAGAACATTGGAGCAACTTTTATCACCCCTGCATATTCATGAGAGTATTCGTATATGTGTCTTTAAACAGTAAACCGATAGATAAAACTGTGAACAATTCTCATCTTGGAGTAAAAATCCTCACAGAAACAAGTTGAAAAACGACACGTTCTCCCCAGTTCGAGTTTCGAGGTGGTAAAATTAATACCAATATCCACCTCTTCTTTGAAACTCTATATTTTCTTGGATAATTGGGATATCAAGATGAATAAAAAACGAAAATATTCGGGATAGACTTTGCTATAATTTGGTGTTGGGAAATCGGTTCAATTATCAGTGGTTCACTCCACAGGATGTCTTAAAGAATACCGAAAAATCCGTACTTTCTTTACACCCCTGTATATGATATAAAGACGAATCGTTTGGAGGTGGTTATTTCTCAGATGTATTCGTGAAGAATGAAGCTAAAATTCGTGAAAAACAAATTTGAATCGAGTGATCGGTTCGAGAGAGAATTGATGTCAAACTTAGTGTAAATTTTACCCGTTCCCCTAATTGTGCCAGTGTGTGTAGTTCGCAGTCAGGTATCTTATATCATTTATTCAAGAAACTTGAATATGAATACTTCATGAATGTATTTGGGGTTAATAACACGCTAATTATCATTTTATTCTTACTTGAAACACAAGCATTTCGTAGCACAACATGCATATTAGAAAATATGAATATTCTTTTGGTTAACTGGTTAACAATGAGCAGAGTGGGCTAATGGAGGAGTGCTTTTCTTATGATATGATCGACAGTGATTATTGCATGAATCATAATTTTCCCCTTATGACTTGAAACTTATTGATGTCACTTGAAACTTGAAACTATATGAAGATTCAAAACTGCTCCAAATCCATAAACTGCCATAAATCCACCATCATGAAATCATCGATGAGAGTGTGTTCCATCTATGATGGAATGGAATATAAAAGGGACACACAGTTTGTTTTCGGAGACGGTGTTATTGGCTTTTAGGTATCGTCCCACTAACAAAAGTTGTCAACAGTATACAGGGTCGGGCATTAGTGCGTCGGACCTCGATTGCTCGAGTTCTATAATAGCTAGAGACTCGATTCAACAACGAATGTGAATGAGACATCAAGGTCCATGACTAGAAATTATTGCCGCTCATACAGGGGGCACCGGAACAAATCTTGAGGGTCAGGATCACTTTATATTAATGGAATGCCCTGCCCTGCATGACCTCTTACAACTTCAATAATATTGTTGAATTTATCTCGATCATTTCAAAGTTTTTAATTTTTTTCTTCTGAATAATGTCATCTGCAGATGCATACCGAAAAAATCAATGTAGTCACAATTATGAAATTCGAGAGAGAATAATCATTTTACATCATTTGATGAAAGGATGCGTAATATTTCTGTGGAATTTTCTTGTCCTCAAATTATACAGGATGACTATCGACATATCGACAGAAGGTCTAAAAACTCTTGTATGGTAATCTGATTAACATGGTTTTTATCTAATAACTCCTCAAAACTCAATCATTTTGAATCATTATAAATCAACGAACTCAAAAATGTTGACATTTTACTTTTACTTCAATTAGACCTCAATAGTTCACCACTGTTGAATTTGTTTTCTTAGTAAGTAATGATATTCATTTGCTATCAACCCATTCAAGTTAATCCGGTATACCGTAATTTAATGTAGATATTGTGCCTAATTTCCGAGAATGAAGGTTTATCGATCCTGTCCACAGGTTATTAATCCTTCAAGTTGGGAAAGTAGGATATATAAAAGTTAAGCAAGCCAACGTTGGTTTAGTTCATTGTACCATTATATCACCTGACGAAGCTACTGTGTTAGCGAAACATGTTGTGTGTTTAAGAATTTTGTGGAAATCTTCTCGTTTGTGAAGTTTTTACATATGCCATGGATTTCCATCAAGTAGCGGCCGAGTCAATTCTAAATTTGTAGGTTATTTGTTTGAGGGCAACAGCTCTAGAACCGTTTTTGTTAACCAAGAGTTTTTTTGGTGGTGAGCGAAGAAAGATATTGGGACGATTAGGTTCCATCAAGACATTAGCTGGGATGATTCTACTGTTCAATACTTACGAGTCTGACAGAGGATTCCAGTGTACCCTGGATAGCATTTGCATTCCAAGGGTTTCTCACAGTACCCATGAATGCATCCTGGTAAAACTTGACAATCCTTACAATTCCTTCCAGACCAGCCAAGCCTACATAGGCATTCTCCAGGAGATTCGCAGTATCCTCGTGTCGCATGGCAATCCGATCTACATGTCGCTGAAAAAATTCACTCAGATAACTCATTTCTGAGATAGTATGAATGGGAATTTCATCCATTCAGGTCAACATTTCATTATTGATCAGAATAATTTGGTTTCTTATATTTTGACTTCATCAGTATTATAATTCTGAGAACGTTACTCTCGTATATTGAGAAAATTCGTTTAGAAATTATTATCACTTGACATACATTTCCATACAAAATACAAAAAGCAAACAGATATTTCCCAATCATCATTATAGCCCGAAAACTAGGTCATAAGTGAGTTCAAAAATGGGGTATACTATAAGATTTCGTATCGCACCCATACAAAATAATAGAGGCATGACAATATTTCTGACAACGTTGAATTCTGGAACAATCAATGGTAGTTTTTTTTCGTGACTTCAATCTTCTCCAATTTTGTATTGCTTCAAATTATCCAATAGTTACGAAGATATGAACAGAAAACTTTGGAAAGTCACACTCAAACTGCTTCCTTATTTCTTTCTGACCCTCTACCCATCAGGTTCATCGATTTTTGCCTATACGTTACGAACATTGATAAATCTGTCAGAATTGCATGAGATCGTATACTAAAAATCAGCTTATGAGTACTCGCAATTCTATCGATGTTAATTCTGTCAAAAATCGACGATATCCAATTGCTTGGTATAACAATACGAGTCCGCAGGACGAGAGGTGTCAAGAACCTCAGAGCAATTTGATCGAATTCATGATTTCTGACGGAATGTTCGATAGTATTGTGAGCATCAATAAGTGTGGAATTCTCTATTCTATTCACCGAAATTAACCCCATGTAGATATGTCCATTTGTACCATGGACTGGAGAATGAAGAATCATCGTGTCGTTTCAAGAATGAGTGAAAAATAGTTAGGTATATGAAACAGTGTCAAAGCTGCTAATCACTTGATTTGAAGCACTGAAAACTGATAACTTTCGAATCGAATCGAACTGTACTTCAATGTTCAAGATGGAATATATTTGACAAAGTGTTCCTATTCTGAGAAATATACGATATGAAACTACGATGAAAATATTTGAGGTGTATTAATATTGTCATAACACATATGGATGAGATTGCAAGAAAAAAGTTATGGCACCTGTAGATGATGATTCCAGAATGCAAGAAAAATATGAAAAAAGTTAACCCATTCTGTCAACAATTTCAAACTATACAGTTCCGAGTCAGGATATGTACCTACATCAAGCAAACCGTCTAGATGGTTGACTTAGTTGATGAAGTTACACAGTTCAGATACATGTACAGTGTGTCCAGTTTTCGATGCTTTTGCGTGATATCTCAGTTATCTTTCGAGATAGAACCTTGCGGTTTTTGCGGTCCTGTACCACTTTTCTGTGAAACTCAAGATGGCCTTATCAGATTTTGCATAACTGTTTGCGTTTATGAGATACAGGGCGATTTTGAAAATTTATACTTTTTGGACCCCCTCTATATCTACGAAGTTTCTCAGCGAAAATGTCAAATTGGAATCTTATCCCATACAGAATTTTGCGCAGAATTCAGTGGCGCACTCAAATTTTTTTTTTCTGGGTATGGTTTCGGAGATACGACTCAAACTTATGATTTTTTAAATGGAACACCCTGTATTTTATAAGCTCATTAAATTCCTTATTTTTTCCTCATCAAAATGAAATATGATGAATAGGTATAAAATTTTCAAAAATCCTCCAAAATCACTAAAACATTGAATTTTAATAATGGGCTATGGATTTTTCATTTAAAAAAAGTTCCATTTGGAGGAATATTTCATTTGATTCTTCCATGAAAAGGACAAAAACAATCCCAACACTAGTTAATTAAGATAACACAAAAATTAGGTACCTGATAACAACAAATGAATGGTAATAAAAAGATCATATTCTAGAATAAGCACCTGATTTAATATTATTATTCATTGAATTGTTCAAATTGATGTCCACTCTCCCTCACACGCTTTCTCAATACGTCTTAATGCATTCAAAATCATTAAAGGATGTCTTTGTAATTCCTGGAAAACTGCCTCTGTTGTTGCACAAAGTTCTTCAAGATATTTGTGACTCTTACTGTATCAAGACGTATTGAGAAACTGTGTCAACTGTGTGTTATGGAAAATGGACATCAATTTGAACAATTCAGTGAATAAGTTATTGAATAATTCCGAAATTCAATTGTATTTGTAAATATTTGACCTGGTGCTTATTCTACATTATGAACTTTTTATTACTATTTATTTGTTGCTATCAGGTACATAATTTTTGTGTTTTCTTAGTTAATTAGTGTTGGTATTGTTTTTGTCCTCTTTATGGAAAAATCGAAATGAATATTCCTTCAATTGGAACTTTTTCATAAGAAAAATCCATAGCCCACTATTAAAATTCAATGTTTCAGTGATTTCAGAGCATTTTTGAAAATTTCATATACATACATTATGAATCATTTTGAAGCGAAAAAAATGAGGATTTTTATGAGCTTATAAAATACAGGGTGTTCCATTTAAAAAATCATAAGTTTGAGTCGTATCTCCAAAACCATACCCCGAAAAAAAAATTTGAGTGCGCCACTGGATTCTGCGTGAACTTTCATATGGGATGAGATTTTAATTTGACATTTCTGCTGAGAAACTTCGTAGATATAGAGGGGGTCCAAAAAGTATAAATTTTCAAAATCGCCCTGTATCTCATAAACGGAAACAGTTATGCAAAATCTGATTAGGCCATCTTGAGTTTCACAAAAAAGTGGCACACGACCGCGAAACCCGCAAGGTTCTATCTCCAAAGATAACTGAGATATCCCACAAAAGCATCGAAAACTGGACACACTGTACATACTGAAACACGAAAATCAAATATCAGGTATTCATGGAGTTAACATTTTTGTCTGAGTAGGGTCCTTTCACAGAATAATAAGCCTGTGATAACAAAAACACCTTCACAGACTTTTCTAATTTAGTGCATGGAACATGTTTTGCCTTCCATCTGAATTGGCAAGGAATAATCAAAAATTTGTTTCATTTATTCATTCAAAATATATATGTCTCAATTCTTGATGATATTGCGATCAGTAACCTTATATTGACATTATTTCTCGTATTTCGTTGAAGTGAACTGACGTTTTCACTCTTATATTTTTTTGCATCAGGCATACCATTTCCAAGATAAGACAAGGTTAGGATATTGATTGAAGGTCGACAGAGGAAGAAAGTACTATCACTTGATGACAAAGTATCAAGCACTGCCAGACCATCACCAAGGACTGATATGCACAAACAACCAGCTTCGGTAAGCATTTTCTACTCATTATAAGCTATGTTTCGTGTGAAACCAATCGTTAAGGTCGTATGATTGGTGTAAATTTTGAAAGAGTAGTGAGTGTTGCCCTCCCCAAGTTCAACGTTACTAGACAAAGTTCAGTTTTGAGTGACCCATTTGAACTACCAATATGTCCTACAGAAGAAAGTTATTCTAGGTCATACGCACTAAATTTGACCGTTTTCGATAAGAATCAACTCTTATGTTGAAAATCATGGTAAATATTTCTGAAAATTGCTGCGTGCATTGAAGCTAACTGCGGATATGTCCAACAATCATTAATTTAACTAAACACGATTTGCTATTATTGTTATTTTTTGTTCAATTTCGTAATATGAAGCTGACCTTTGGTTTTGTTACTTGTTCTGAAGTCGAAATAGATTCTGTTTGATTGGTAAAACAAAATTTGTTCCAAAAAATCTACCATGATTTTCTTCATGAAAGTTAATTTTTCTCAAAAAAACCTTGGCCGTTCGAATGGGCACCTCAAAACTGTAGTTTTTCCAGTAGCGTAGGAGTTGGGGAAAAACATCCACTAACTCTTCGAAACCTTCACCTATTATGACCTGAACATAATGAATTCCGTAGAAAACATGGCGTTTTATGAGTAAAAAATGCTCACGAAAGCTATTTCTTGTGCGATTACCGGTTCCAGAGATATTCGCAGAGAACGATTCCTTTGTTTCAAATTTCAACACCCTGTATCTTGGAAATAGTGTATTTCAGAGGGTACGTCAATGGCAACTTTTTTTATATCTTTGGACGACCTATCAGATCCTGAAGTTCTGCGCATATATCATGAAACGCCCTGTAGTAAACCAATAACAAATAGAATCGGAAAACATCGATGTGAATTAGAAGTCTGTATTTTTTGTTAGCAGGCACCACTTACGTTCAGAGCAAAATATCCCATCCCAGCCCTCCTGACAAATACACTCGAAACTCGTATTGCAGTACCCGTGCTGGCACCCCGGCAGCGGTATGCACTTGTTGCACCTCTCCCCATAGTACCCCAGTTTGCACAGGCACTCTCCGGGCCTGTTGCAGTACCCTTGGAGGGGATCGCAGCCCGATCGACACTTGGGGACGTCACAGAGGTCTCCATTCCAGCCAGGCAGGCATTTGACTTCCCCGTCATCGGTGCAGATGTAGTGGGAGTATTCGGTTTGTGAAGAAGGTATTTCGCAAGCCTGTAAATTTGGAAAAAATAGTGAGGAGGCAATGATTCTCTTCAGGAAATATGCAAAGTTCATAAAATTTTCGCCTACCATATTGACGTAGTTATGCAAAAAAAAAACTAGACGACATGATCTTCGAAACTGAGTAATATGCATGAATCGATGGCTAATAATCCATTCTAATTTCAGCAAACAAAGATCAATTAATTTCAAACGTATTGGCCTTTGTTCTTGGTAAAAGAACCATCTGAAATCATGAGCATCAGTTCATTCTCAAACAACGCAAGAAAGAACCACGTGAGATGATTGACGAGAGAAATTGTTCTTTTTTGTATATCTCCGTCTGATAATTTCTCGGTATACCATTCAGATGGATTCTATCACTCTCCAGGTTTTTACCTGAATCCACCGACAATTCAGAATGCAAAAAGGAACCATCGCATTATTTCTATTCTTCATTATTGTTTTTGTGGAAATTCAAACTGGGAATGCTGTTTCTCCTTCGGTGCAGTGTATCTTTCGGGCTTCACCCTCGAACTACAAATCGCACCTTGGGAAAAATCTTGCTTCTCTGTCCCTTCATGTATAATGTACTATTGCTTGGCAACTACACGTTCGCATAGCGAACGCGTTGTATTTGATAAGATTATTTCAAGAATAAACTAATTACTCTGGCAAACTTTTATTTTCGCATATAGGATGACCATTTCGTGAAGATCCTTTTATGTCAACATATTATATTTTTTGTGCAATCGTAAGCGAAGAGAGAACTTCGCGTTCTCGGCAAGTAGGCACGCGAAGTTGAACCACGCAACAGTTACCCATATCAACGGCTGCCAAACTAAATCCCACTACCGGAAGCTGTGGAGATCACTTTGGGTTTTCATTATCGTAGCTAATATATATGTTTTTCGTTCAATCGTACGCGGAAGAGAGAACTTTGTGATCTGCAGAAAGTAGATACACTAAGTACAACTGCGCAACCGTTACCCATAGCAACGGCTGCAGAACCAAAGACCAGGCCCGGATTTGACATTCTCAAACTACGGCGATGACAAGGTTATTCATTGTCAGATCATGGTCAGATCATATTTTCGTTTTGTCAAGAACTGAAAAAATATTTTATTTTCCTTCAGAATGGAATTTTAATTTATTTCAATAATTTTGATGATTATACGAAAAATAGTGTGTATACAATGGCCGCGAATCTTTTTGGCGACCTCAGAAGATTATCTGGCCTTGGTCATCGGAAGCGGCCTCGACGATAACTTTTATTTCGGAACGGCCAAAAAAAGTTATTTCGCGGCCTAGGTATACCCACAAGGGCTTCGCCAGCCGGAAAGCTAGGGGTCGAAGAAAAAAATCAAATAAGGAAAGTTTAATGAAAATTATTAAAAAACTGGAAAAAAACTATATAGAAAATGTCCTTCGTGAATTCGTTGGTCACTTTGTTGACGAAATAGTTCAAGTTTTTGGAAATATGTTGCCTGTGTACACTAATCATTGCGAGGCCATTGAGTCGAGATTTCAACTGTACAAGTCTAACACTGTAATGCAACAAGGATCTTCAAAGCCTTTTTGATTTCAGGAAAAAAACATCTGTTTCCGGAAGTTCTTGGCTCAGAGTGAGCGTTATCATAAGTAAAATCACGATGTCCTGAATATTCGAGATAATTTTGTCGCTTCATTGTTCATGAAATTGTGTTGTCGAGTTCGTCAGGACGAGTGGTATCCCTGTACGGATACAAAATTGAGCAAACAGTGAAAAACAGAATTAGGAGAAGATTTTCCGATCAGTGTGGTATTTTTTTAGACTATTCACGTTCACGAACCATAAAAAGCATTTATGAGAAATGAGTGATTTATTCTGACAAGTTCAGCGATAATCATCTCATGCCAAACTGACTTTGCTTCGCTATCTATGGTTACATTCTCGAAAACATCAATGCTTGAAGACTAATCAGAATTAAAAGACAGCTAATGTTTTCGCGAGCAGCTCACGTTGTCTATGGCTGGTGATTGGTCAGATTATGTGATGGATGAAATGGTCCTTCCAATTTGTACGGAGACTGATGAGCGTTAACCTCTAGAGGGGGGGAGGCAGCTGCCCTACCCTGCCCCTCTCTGGAGACGCCCTTGTATACATATTAATATTTCACTGGTATTGAGGTAATTAATATCTCATCAGTATCTTCGAAATAGAATAATTTCACTCTCGTCGAGATCATTGAGAAACATAATATAATGTATTTCTTCATATATATACCGGGTGTCCCATTTTAATCTTTATTTGGAAATTTGTCGTAATGTATGCATCTGACAAAAAAAATTGCCGAATAAAAGTTGTATGGTTTGGAGGGGGACGTCTGGTATTAAAACAAGTTTCACCCCCTGACCCCCAGGGGAGTGAGAAATGGAGGTAACATTGAAATCTTTAATGGAAACCCCTATTTATTATTGCTGATTCTGGAAGAGCATTAAAAACTATGAAGCTTTTATTCAAGAACTTCTTTTTTATTTTCACAAGATGGCGCTGCGATCTTAAAAAACAATATTTTACTATTAAGTTTGTAGTTGGCCACCCAGATCACCCGACTTGACTTCCCCAGACTTCTTTCTTTGGGGTTACATCAAAAATATTGTGTTTCGCGAACCCCTAACCACACGCGAGAATATGAAAGATAACGCCTGCTATGTTGGAGGCGACAATGCGGAATTTTGAAAAACGAGTGAACTTGTGTATTCAAGAAAATGGAGGTTATTTCGAACACTTGATAAAGTAGTCAATCTCACTTAAAACCAGCTCTAGTCTGACCTAAATGATACCTCAATTGCTGAAACATGCTTATTTTTCTCTTTTCTATGTAGAGGTGTCAAGGTGAGTAAGTTCGTTTAGCGTTAATTTGTCGTGTGAATATCACCCCAATGGCGTTTGTCTAGGAAAATATCACACCCTACACTCTTCCTCGTCTTCAGGGGGTTGAAATGTGTAAATAGTGAAATATTGTTTTTTACGATCGCAGCGCCATCTTGTGGAAATAAAAAAGAAGTTCCCGAATAAAAGCTTCATAGTTTTTAATGCTCTTCCAGAATCTGCAATAAAAAATAGGGGTTTCCATTAAAGATTTCAATGTTACCTCCATTTCTTACTTCCCTGGGGGTCAGGGGGTGAAACTTGTTTTATAAGCAGACGTCCCCCTCCAAACCATACAACTTTTATTCGTCAATTTTTTTTGTCAGATGCATACATTTCGAGAAATTTCCAAATAAAGATTAAAATGGGACACCTGGTATATCCATTTTTTGTGTTCATAAATATATCTGAGAATGTTCCTTTTCAATATAGAAACTTCACAAATGATAAGATTTCCAGAAAATTCTTACAATGAACTGTTCATTGTACCAGTATATCCTGTCGAAGCTACTGTGCTAGCGAAACATGTTGTGTGTTTGAGAATTTTGTGGAAATCTTATCGTTTGTGAAGTTTTTACATCTGCCATGGATTTCTTTCAAGTAACGGCCGAGTCAATTCGAAACACATAGTAATTTTATCGACTTTAGCTTGAAGCTTGATAATTTTCCTGATATCTTGACATCCAAGCCAATTTCCCATTACATTATAATAATATTTCCGGATACATAGTCACCTCTGAATCATTCATTGGATTCATAAGACTCAATATAGCTCTAAATTGACTCGCGAGACACATCTGCAGAGTGAACGTGTTGAATTGAAAGCTCTGTAGGAACATTAATTTCCACTGATTCCTTGTATGATTTTGTTATCCAATTTCACTTCTGGAAATTACCGAGCCTCAGCTCACAATTGATTATTGATTATTTATTCATGTACTAAAAGGAGTAGAAGTCGAAAGAGAAATCTTCCAGTGACAGACTTGGAATATAAATGGTCACGAAAAGTGGCGTGATTATAATAAAGTACATACAGTGAGAACCAAAAGTTCTCTGCCCTCCACTCTCCTGTAACTTCTTTATTCCACATATTACATGCAGAAACAATGTTGAATGCATAACACTCAGAAGGTTCCATTCGATTCATTTAATGGTTTGAGTTCCATTGATAGTGAGTGTCCCAAAAAACGCAGTGACCTATAGTGTTATTTTTTAAATAGGATACCCTATATATATTATATATCATTACCATTGATTTTGTGATGAATTGCCGGCACTGACAATGCATCTGTTTGCTCGCTCAAATGAGAAATGTAAAATTAATGTGGTTTCCGGCTATAAATGTATTGAATGTGGTAGGTTTTCCTATAATAGTTGTGGAAAGAAACGAGAAGTGAAAAGTATTTGTGATGATGTGATTTGTTGAAAAAAAAAACCGGATAACATTGGTGCAAATAGTGACACAGCATTTTATTGTTGCCATTAAAAAACTATCAGCACCAATGAGAAGATTGATATCAATGTCTCCAACTTTGTGATTCAATAGAAATAGGAATGAAGGAGCAGATTTTCTTATTGAATGGAATCAACTCATTCATACGTTCGAGCGAATCGACACCTGAAGCAATAAAAAATGGACTAGAGACATCACCATTTCAAGGAAATTAGATCAGTTTTCACCTCAAATTTTCAATCAGATGACTGGTCTTACTATATCATCGGAGTTGATAATCATGGAGATATGAACCTCAATATGAAAATGTCGACTATTTTTGCACGAGTTGATTGTGAGAACCGTAACAAAATGGAAAACATCAATGTTTCACAATCCTTATTCAAATTTGGAATTTGTTTTTCAGATATGTAACAGTTAGACTTTAGTTCTTTACTGTATATAAAACAGGCAACATATATATTCCTCAATCATGAAATATCCAGAAATATTATATTCATAATGTTTCAACATATCTGAATCAATATCAGAGTCGTTCTCATGGGGAAATGTCTGGCTCCCCCAAATCGGTACCGGCAATGAACGGCCCGGTGGTCGAGAGCGCGAAGGCGCTGAGTTCGTATGGGGACTCCCACCGAGGCATGGGTTCGAATCCCAGTTAGGCCATGGATGTTTGTGAATGTATGCTTTCCTAACCCCGCACAAGTCTCGACTTATCGGGCGTTGGATCCAGTATTGGGTACAACGAGGAAATGCAATTGAAAAAAAAAGAAAAAAAAATAGTGTAATAGTGTTCAATGGGTAAGCTATTTTTTCAGCCCTCACTCTGAATAAAATGAGTATGAAGCAATCTTGAAGAGATCGTTATTTTCGTTTCGTCAAGTGATCGTGTTCATTCGTATAGAAACAACTTGTAATTCGGTCGTCTAATATTTCTTGATTTTTCCAATGAGAGGTATCACAGGTCTTCGCCTTTCTCATCATTTCTGGAGAGAATTAAATTCTGTATGTTAATTGACTCACTCAGATCACATTGAAATTGAAAATTGTGAATATATATGGAAGGACATACGGGGGATTCAATATACTACTATTTTGGATGTATAAAACATTGGTATTTGGCTAACTTGAATAAAGAGAATCATCGGCCGGTTTGGAATGTCGATCATGTTGTTAATTTAGTCTTTCACTGGACGATAACTCCTTGCAGAGATCTGCTTATCATCAATCTAATTCTTGAGGCGTTTGAACTTGAACATCTTTTTCGTCAATAGCAATAGAAGTGCATATTTTAGAAATTACCACAGCGCGTGTGCACGACACGATTGTATGCGAAGTAGTTGATCGTGATACAAGTTATACCGAAAATAAGGCTGCCAAAAGCATACCTATACGTTGAATAATAATTGTTGCACTAAACCTTCTCTTGATCACATACATGTTCAGTCAATAATGTCAGGACTTCCTACACGAGGGCGGTATCTTTTTTTCCGAATTTCAGGACATGTTGAAAACCCACAGAAATCCATGCATTGAAAAAATCGTTGCACAGAATCTGTCACTAATGGTCAATAAGAGAAACATGTGGAGACGTATGTCTGAGGTCGAAATAAGACATGTTTCCTCACAATCTTTCCCTGTGATTACTTCTCTATAATTATATAGAATTCAAATCGTGTTTTTGAAAAAAAAGAAGAGAAGTACATTACATGACACTTGTTCACAGAAGGACATCTCACCTATACACCTAGCTGAATTTCGAAACACCCTCTTCATGGGAATTATAACAAAAAATCAGAGCTCTCATGTTACGAACCGAATCACTTATTCGAATATTCATTTTACTCACTTGTTTCTTCCATTTCGGCTGGTATTTTGCAGGCAAAACACTTGGTACCGGGAAAAACAGTACAATAGAACACAATATCACATTCATTAGTATCATTTTCCAGATTGAATATGGGTTTATTTATTTTATGAAACCTATCAAACAGACCAGGAAGCTAACTTGACCCTCAACTTGAAGAAGTCACAGACCAAGTGAAGAACAGTGACCTCCTTTCCATGTATTGCTTATAACTGTTCATTGAAGAGCCAGCAGTAGAACAGGTCTGGTGTGAAGAGACTTAAATGCAGTTAGATAAAGAAAACAATATTCGATGAGGAATTGGTATGTTTTTCGTAAAAATTGAATATGTATACTTATTTTATTATGCAATTATCAATAAATAAACTGTTGTATTCGAATTTTCATAATTCCATATATCACATTTGGTATGATCGATAGTTAGGATGATAATGATGAACTACATAATTGCATCTTATACAGGGTGTCCTATAAGTCATGGATAAATAGAAGTGGGGTGGTAGGGAGGGTCATTTGCAATTAAACTAAGGCTGATGAATTTGGTTGTCAAACTGTTGGTGGTTAGAAGTTTCAAAAAACGTGAACCATTTGAAAAATAACAGTGACTGGCTGTTGTGAATAATCCCAGATGTTTCGGATATTTCGGAATCTGTATTGAATTGGCAATTTTTTGATACAATTTGGTTAGTTGGGGTAGTTTTCAAATCTGCGAGTGGCATCCAAAGATCAACTGAAATATTCCATTTTTCTCAGATGATTGATACGAAGTACACAGGTCATGAAATTATTTCTGAGGAGAGGAAAATCACAAATGTGTCATAGTTCCATCACAGGTTTCATTGTAATTATTTTTTTTAATGGAAATGAAGATAATCGACAACTTCTGAAACATCAACAATTGGATATCAACATACATGGTAAGTTTAATCGGAAGTGACCCCCTTCTCCCCTACCACCCCACATCTTTTTATCCATGACTTATGGAACACCCTGTATATAATTGAAATTCTATTCATATAGAAGGGAACACCACAAAATCAATACTCACATTGAGGAAACAGATCGGTTGAACAGTTGTATCATAATGTTTCTGAAAGGACTTATTATGATAATGCTAGGGATTACTAGTACATCTGTACCTCAGAGGTAAAGTGTACTAAGTCACACAAAGTAGGCTTCCCAGGGGAAGCAAAGATAACATGTCAATTTATATTCGTTTCCATAAATATCTGACCACTGTGAAAGTTGGACTTGAAGATTTCCAGAATGTTGATAAATACGATTCCTCGAACTAATTGAAAATATTGAACTCGCTCGAATAATCTCCCTGGACTCAATACAGTTCACCTTAGAAGTACTTTGCAAAAATATTTGACTCAGTACTTCTAGTTTCGACTTCTAGGGAGTTGGTTCCCAACCAAGATGCAGCGATATACAAAGATTACAAATTGTGTATTACTTCTTTTTCTTCGTATGAAGAATCTCAAAATCCACCTTTGAATAATAAAATGGAACCAATATATGTTCATTTCATTTAGATCAAGATGTAACTCCACCTGTTTCATTCCCACGATATGTACTAATGATTGATAAGGCTGAGGATGCACATAGATATGTTCGATACATGTACCAAGTTATTTGATTATATCAAATTGTCCTGGAGATGACTTCGAGTATTAATACTTCACTTCACTACGACAAACCATAGACTTCTACCGAAGATAACTTAGAAATATGTTCTCAAAGAATTGGACTCACGATGTTGGCAGGGCTTCTAACCAAGATCTGGTTATCTGGACCCTTGGAGTTTCTGGCCAATATCCACAAAAAAAATCCCACTACTTTTTGACCCTGTATCCCGAAGCAAACACAAAAATTTAATTCATAAAATTTCGACACCATACAATGAGAAACGAATCATTACCTAAACATTTCAATCGAATCATTCCCTCCGTAAGTAAAAATTAATTTGATTATAAAACTCATGTTTATGGAATCCTCACACCAAATTTGCATGCATAAATACGATGTATCAATGTGAACAATCCAATAGAAGCATGAAAATCTTGTGGAAACATGTGATAAAAAATTTGGCACAATATGCAGTTCCGCCGGTTGGACGTGGTACCAAGTCCTCGTAGTATTGTCCACCTAGGTGATAAGTCATTGATACATACATTGATCTGAATATAATCCATTAGGGTGAAATTTTACATTTCATTATTGAAAAATCATCCTATCATCATCCATTTCAAAGAATCCCTCTTCTGATTGTATAGAAACATGTTTCAATATCTTTCAGACTTCAATGCTATATGAAAAATATCGAAGACCTACCTACTGATACATATACTCCCATGTAGATTTCGTAAAAGACGTACAGGGCATTGAAGTGCACAAGGGCGATAAAATTTTCTGCCACGAAAATGCTTTCAATTCAGACCATATCTCTTTCTTCTAACTAGGTACTTATAATAATTTATTAGCACACTTGCAGAAATTCAAACAGTGACACCAGACTGTGGGGTTTCAGAAAACGAATTCTCCTGCAAACCTTTTCTCACACTGAAAAAAAAATTGAGTGAAATTTCACTCAAGGTCCACGCAATAATGAGTCAATTTCGGTCCACGCCCGATTGAGTTGAAATTGCACCCTACTCTACTGTGTGAAATGGTAATTCATGAACCGATTCAATCAAATTTTTCATAAACATTCTCATTGGTATGAGAACTTGATGAAATATCTAGTTTGAGTTGAGAATTCACTCAAAAATGTCAATCAGTAAATTCACTCACAATCACATATGCATTCACTCAAAGGAATTTACTACAGTGCATGGATTCTTTTTCGTGCGATCCAAAAGATAAGAAATATTATACGAATAAGAAAAACATAATATAGAATGTGATAGCGTATTCGAGGATATGGAGCAGTCTCTAAACTTACCCTCTTGAATGCACCATTTTCGAGATACGGGGTATTGAAATTTAAATAAATAGAATCGTGTTTTTGCGAATATCTCTGGAACCGTTCACCACATACAAACTCATGAGCATTTCATTCCCATAATAGGCTATGTTTTGTGTGGAATTGTGTTCTTTTCAATACATAATTGGTGGAAAAATTTAAAGAGAATTGGTTGTATTTCTATACCTAACTTCCACGATACTGAAGAATAAAACAGTCTTGAACCGCTCATTTGAATTGAAAATATTTTCTTCACAAAAAGGTACTCCTGGTCATGAGCTCTAAAACTGATTATTTCCGAGGAAAATCAAGTTTTGCATGCATTTAAGCTGGAAGCAGACATTTTCAACAACAATAATTTAACAGAGCACGATTTGTTATCATTTTCAAATGCAATTATGAAGTTAACGTTCGGTTTTTTTACTTGTCCAACGTCTGAATCAATTCTGCTCAATTAGTAACGAAAAAACTAATTCAAAAAATATTCCATGTTTTCCAACATAAAAGTATAGATTTTTCCCGAAAATGGTCAACTGAAGTGGTTACGACCAACAGAACCTTTTTGGTGAAGAAAACATTGGCGAATAGATGGCTCAAGACTGTACTTTTTCCAGTAACGTAGGAGTTGTGGAAAAAAGACCCACTAACCCTTCGAATTCTTCAAAAATTATGACATGAAGAAAACACAATATAAAACATAGCCTATTATGAGTTGAATATGCTCACGAAAGCTTTTTCCTGCATGTACGTTAAACGGTTTCAGAAATATTTGCAGAAGGCGAACACCCTGTATCTCAAAAATTGTACATTTACTTATTTTCATATTCGTGGAGTAGCAATCACATCTTGAAGTCCTGCGAATATATTATGAAACACCCTGTCTTCTACTCACAGAGATATTGTGATAACGCTCTGATACACTTCAACACCATGTAGTTGGGGATTCAACGAATTCTATTTGTGGGGCATATTGAAACATGGTATGTCCTAGATATTTCTGGAAGATATCTCAATACTTTTACTTTCCACCCTCTCTTTATGATCCTTTTTTTCTATCCTCTATGAAGGATTCATGAACTCTTGGATTACACAGTACCCTGACATGTCCTAACATATACGAAATTCGGAGACAAGTGAGTGGGATGGATCACTAAGGCATACGGGTGTGACAAAGATATTATATGATGAATAGTGGTGGAACAGATTTCCACATTTCTGAAATCACCTGTTCAAGAATTATAAAGATCCGTTGCATTGTGAGAAAATACATTTTGTGATAATTTTTTAACCTTATATTTCAACTATAATCTTGTCCTCTATCGAAACTGAGAAGTTCTCATAATAAAAATATTGTTCTGAAAAATAAGCAGACGATGCATTTTCACGTTCATTAGATATCATTACCTCGTTGAGAAATAGTTATTTATGCAACAAGTGCAAAAAGTGAATGTTATAATAAAGTTATAATGAACAATTTTTGCACGAGTTGCATACAACATTTTTTCTACGTTCATGCAAAAAGAAAAAAATGATTCATTGAGGTGCGGCACTAGGTGTAGGAAAATGAAAAACGCAACTTGAATACTTTATTATTGATATCGATTTGCATTGAAACAGGAACTAATACGTTACGAACAATTTAACTCAAACTTTATTTTTACCCTCGACATTGAAAGTGAATGCACAATTGGTGCAATTTTCAATATGAATATATGACGTTTCTATAACCACAGTTGCAATATAAAAAATGAATGTCATGATGACAGCACGTTGAAGTAGAATGACAGATGAGTGCAATAAAAACTTCATTGCACTAAGTGCAATGAAGAACTTCTTTTTCCACTAAATATAGTTCAATAAAGTTCTGCTTTTTGCATGAATGAAGAAAAATTTAATAAGCAATTATCATACAATTTGTTGAAATATAAACATTGATATCTCGAATTTCTTCTGTGAAACTGTCCCAAACTTCTTATTAGGTAGGATTGAGATGTTGTTATAATGTAATACTGACGTTGTAGCTATTTAGGAACTTATGGCTTTATTTAATACTCGAACTAATGGGTCGTAAACCCACTCTCTAGCATGCCTTCCATATATCATATCGATGTGGTTGAAAACATTCCTGTTTATCTTGAGCATGCCGTGTCTTGACCTTTCTGGGAGATTCCTCCATAAGTTGAGAGCATCCTGAAAAAGCATGTTTTTTCGTAGGTATGCAATTGGGATAAATATTCACGGGAGGGTTTGCGGGACAAGAAAAGCGGAATGATCACGAATAAATCGAATCTTCTGATATTTTCATCCATATTCTCCTTTCATAACTGATGGTGTTGACATGAACATTAAGATGTTTCAAAACTTCCTTCAGTTTTGAAAAGTGTCTAGAAAAAGGAGGTTATATTCTCCTCATTTGATCGAATATCACCATGAGAACGAATGTTCTATCAGCTATTTGAGCATTACCTAGTCCACAATTATAGGATCTGGAATAGACTTATATTATGCAGTGACGTATGCAACCTAAATGGAAAATACGCCATCTCTATGTCAATTGAATCAATATTTTGTGATTTACAGTGATTGAATCGTGAATTTTGAAGGGATCACTCATCATAATCACAACCACTGAATGAATGTGTGTCTTGTTTCAAACGCTGCTTCTCTATATCCCAGCTATCACTCGTGAGATACTCATCAATTTGGGACCAGAATGGAAAATCGCTTTAGACACTGCCGTGCGTTTCCATTGAAATTGAGAGTGGTCAATTTTTATGAGTTTAACAAGAAAAGCATTACTCGTTTTGTATTTCAAACAATAATTTCCCACCTAAGAGCAAATGAACGTTCCTAAATCTGATTTTGTGAATTCGGATTGGGGTGATTTTTCGCATCTGGAGATTCTCGAGCATGAGAAACGATAATATAAAGTTAGTTTCTTCAATATGGCTCGTGTTGTGTATAATAGTAAAGAATTCGTCAATGTTAGTAGATACAATAGTGATTCAAGAAGAATCTTGATAATTATAACATTTTGGACTTTTGCAAAAAATGAATCTCATAGTGGAAAAAAATCTCCAAAATTATAGGTTTTGTGTGGAAGTAAGTTATTCAGAACTATAGGAATAATATATATAAAAGAATAAGATTATGAGAATAAGAAATAAGGTTTCCATTCGAAAAAAATAAGACTTTCAATGGTTCATTTGTACTTTTTGGAATTTTGGACCCACTTCTCTGCGCATCTTAAAGTATTCAGTGGTTGTGATTCTGATAATTGATTTATTCAACCTTCAATATCGACGAATAAATCACTCAATCACATAGAAATGGCGTATATTCGATAGGCTCCATTTGTTACTATTTCTATAGAAAGAATCGAATAACTCGAATAAGGTTCATTTTAGATATAGATGAGGTATGATACAAGAATTTGAGTCAGGATCGAAAAAAACCTGTATAGAATACAGGAAGTGCCACTCAAAATATCAGAGATAACGTCACTTGCTGAAAAATCAGAATCTTCGCGATAGAAAGGATATTTCATTAGGATTCTTTATGTTTCCTTCACTGTTCCTTCGAATTTTCAGCATCGTGCTTCTTTCAGTTCTCCATCAGCATATTGATCGCGTTAACTCATGAAGATACACCCAGTTCATAAGAACATAAAAGATATCAGAATATTTGTAATTATTTCCTCACTGAAATTGGTGTATTGGAATCGTATAAAGTTTCCTAACATACAGGTTGAAGATTCACACACGCAAGAAAATTCAATGAAGTTCTCTTACGACAAACAATATTTTTTGTCTAGGATCTGATCTCAATATACGATGTCGTTTTTCATAGGACAACAATAGAGAGAGATAATCATCAGAACAAAACATACAAACCATGCGATCAAACCAGGTAATTTGATCACACTACCGATAGCTTTGAAACGTCATCATCTAATGATGCTCTTGTTATTGTTCTCTCAATTTAATATTGAATGAAAATGTTGAAATCCGTATACACTGATTGATGTGAAAAACGGTTTATCCTGAGTCGAAGGAACCATTGTTTTATACACATTTGTGCATTATTTCCTAACGTGAGTGGTTTTCCTATCTCCTGAATATTATGCTATTGTGCTTTAATCGTTTCTCAGCAACTTTCAAATAGCATTAGAACCAATTTCTTACAGTATTCTGTAGGAGAATTCAAAGATATGTATCACTATGGATATTCCACAATCATACATCATAGGGAAATTATAAAAATGTCCAGTGATTGAGTCCCAAAGTGTCACAACGTTGGAACATTTTTCTCAGGCCAGGCAAGGTTCGTTTTGTTGAATGTATCTCTTAATATAATAGCTATTCTTGAAGTATTGGGTGAATTCATGAAAAACAGTAATCCACAAGAAACCAACCCAATGACTTTGGTCTTCCACGTTGGACCCTCAAACTTTCATATTTTCGTTTATGGAATTGGCAAAGTAGTCTTTCCAAAATACTTACCGCTTCGGGAGTAACCCAGTCTTGGCCACTGAACACCAAATAAACAGGGAGTTTCAGTTTCTTGATATCATATATCGGAGAAGATGATGTTCCGTAGTATTTCGGATTCAGTCTTCCATAATTATACTTTCTGAAATTTCCCAAAACGAAATCTGCTGCATGATTCAGAATTTTGATTGAAGTTCCACCTGGAAGCTGGTTAAAGAAAACTGGTACGCTTTCCTTGAAAATAAAATATTAATCAGAATATATAAACAATATGAATAGTGGAATTTCATATCATTAAATGATGATAATACGATATATCTTTAACAACATAGTTGGCGATCATGGTGAGTAGTTATCAGCCAACATGTTATTTGTTTCAGAACGCAGGAAGTAATTCTCACATTTTCCCAATGCAAAATATAAAATACCAAGAACAGAATATGTTTCAGCCAGGAAAAACTACAGCCAAACAATAGATGCATCAGAAGGATTATGCAATGTCAAATTAAGATCAAAACTCATAGATCGTCCCAATGGTTTCCTTTCTTCTGTCTCTTGCTCGAGCAGTTTGTAGTAATTTCACTGATAGTTTTTTCCAACACTTCCCAAAGTCGACGGCACATTAGCAACAACATCGCAAGATGAAGCGAACATTCTTGCAGATATGTTTGCAGCAAACTACAAATTAGATGAGTGCAATGGTCCCCATGGAATTCCACCCATTATCAAAAAGTGTGCATCAGAATTGACACCGATTCTCTCCAAGCAATTTACCACCTCCTGCAAGTCCAATCCATCCCAAACAAGGAAACGAAAGCCTTCTCAACAACTTTAGGCCAATTGTCATCTCCAAAGTGATGGAAAAAGCCATCGATATTGTGCTCATCAAATCACTGGAAAGCTCAGGAATCATCGATGATAGGCAATATGGCTTTCGCCACAGAGATTTACTTGCCCACGACACCCATATATGACAAGCTTCATCACGAAAAAAGTGGAATCTCTAGTGGCGTAAGATATATCGAAGACATTCGACCGTGTTTGCCTCTAAGAACTGCTATGCCATCTTCCATCGAGATTTCTTTCAGGCAGATCGCTCCATGTAGTGATGGACGGAGTAACGTTTGATACCATTATCATCAATTCCTGCGTTCCTGAAGGATCAATTTTTGCACCAACACCGTTCCTACTCCATATTAACGATCTATTCGGAGCAACCACTTGCCGTATCCACAGCTCTGCAGACGATAGTACTCTCCATACGGCGTTTTCTCCTAAAATTGAACTCAACGCCACCAAAACTCAAGTCTATATTTTCTTTATATAGGCGGCACCCAGTATGCCTGATATAACAATGTCTGGTACCACCATTTCCAGTATGTTCGGTATTACCATTAGCAATACTCTCTCATGGAAAAATCATGTTCAATCCATCGCAAAATTTGCTTCAAGGAAACTCAGATTCTAGTTCAGTGCAAAAATCTAGTCCACACCTCAACAGCTTCTGATGATCTACAGAGCACAGCTATGGCCAGTTTTGGAAAATTAGGCTCATGTATAGGGTTCAGTACCTGAATATACGTTGATGTTCTCAAATTCAATTCAGAGAAATCCATTCGCCTGGTGAGTGATACCACACTCACTAACTCTGTGACAGAGATATCAGCTGCAATTCCATCACTAGCAATACAAATCAGATGAACTCGGTAGGCTCAGTCAGCACTTCCTGCCATCGTTAACCTTGTAATAATGTCAAACAAGACTCTATTGAAACTCGTTCGTCCATAGAACGGCGAATCTTTGGAATTCCTTGCCAAGCACTTATTACCTCCGAAAGTTCAGAAACAATTCAACACGTACCTATTTTATATATCATTTCAAGGTACGCACGATGTTTCACGAAAATTATGGGATAAAAAAAATGATCTGAGTGACCAATCACAACTAATCACTGTACTCACCGCTCCCATATCTGTATTTGGTCCGAAAAACAAATTGTACATTTGCATACAATTCTGCATCGTTTCAGGTGATTCAATACAAGGTGGAATCACTACTCTTCTGAGCTCTTGTGCTTGGGAGACTATTCTATCAAGTCTGAGTCTTCTCACTGTGTCCTATGGAAAAAAAATCATAAAGGACATTTCAAGACACACATAAAAAAAAATCTGACCAATCTTATCTGATTTGAATAAGTAATATTTTTTATATGATATAGTTGGTTACCTGTGATATCACAACAAATAATTCGAAGGTATTCGAAAGATATTTCGAGAGCAATTGACAAAAATTGAAATTCTTCAGGTGAATCAATGATATTCGTGAAATATGTTATATCAAGTGTTGAAGGTGAGTCATCAAAGACTTGATCTCATTCGATTCGAGCATTAGTAGTCGAAAACAATTCTTGGGAACTGAAGAGCCGGATGAACACATCAGTAAGGAACTTGAACAATCTACGTACGACCGCAGAATCTTTATTTTTCCATATTATATAATGATCAATTGTGATGAGTTTTCGTTTGAAAAACTTTTTTCATTGCGATATATTCCTCTCTTATTTTTGTTTATTCTGCCTGAATTCATCAAATTATTGGACGTGGATATCGAAATATTATATCATAAAAAGTACTTTCACTCTAGAACCTAGGGCTCAAATGAGTGAATCAACTTCAAGTGCGAGAACATGATATATACTCAATTGAAACTATTGACATAAGTACCATTAAGTACTTTCTGTGAACTCTTCCTTTTCATTGCTTGTTTATGGAGAAGTGTTTCAGTAAATGAATCATTTTGATGACTGCCATATGAGTGAGAGAGCGAATTATGTGATCTTGTACAGGGTGTTCATTTCAGGATTTCCCACCCTAATTTTCTCGAAATGTGTGTATGTTTTTGAAATATCCCGAGACACGTCAACTACATTTTCGAGGGGGACATGGTTCTAAAATATTTTCAGCCCCGCGGCGTTGCCGCTTCTAACGAAAAGAAGCAACAACTTTGTTATTTCAAATGGAACACCATGTATTTTATCGCATTTTTAGATTCTCCCTGAAAAGCTGATTTCATCAATGTATCACACTTGGGGTCTAGCAGGAATGATTACAGAGATATAGGGTGTTCAAAATCGAGATTTTACAACTTTAGGATTTTTTTGAGTCGAAACTATTCATCATTGGTCAAAACGGCTTCTATGTCCCTATCTCAACTTTTGATTTACTATCTACTGACATTTATTTGAAACAAATACAGGGTGATCAAAAGTCTGAATCTTGAACCACCCTGTATTTGTTTCAAATAAATGTCAGTAGATAGTAAATCGAAAGTTGAGATGGGGACATGAAAGCCGTTTTGACCAATAATGAATAGTTTCGACTCAAAAAAATCCTAAAGTTGTAAAATCTCGATTTTGAACACCCTATATCTCTGTAATCATTCCTGCTAGAACCCAAGTGTGATACATTGATGAAATCAGCTTTTCAGGGAGAATCTGAAAATGCAATGAAATACAGTGTGTTCCATTTGAAATAACAAAGTTGTTGCTTCTTTTCGTTAGAAGCGGCAACGCCGCGGGGCTGAAAATATTTTAGAACCATGTCCCCCTCGGAAATGTAGTTGACGTGTCTCGGGATTCTTCAAAAACATACACACATTTCGAGAAAATTAGGGTGGGAAGTCCTGAAATGAACACCCTGTATATCTGGTTTCAGATGTTATTGATCATTAATAATTCGAATGTTGCCTTATTGTAGTTTTGAAAAAGATTCAATTTTGGAAATATTTGTCTTGACGAAATTAATAGTGATATCCTCGATAAATTTCTATCTGGGCATTCATTCACATAATAAAACATCATTCATATTGTTCAAAGTTGGTGATCATTATCACATTACTATACACCGATAGAATTCAATGATTTGAAATATGTAGATTGAAGTCATCGGATTGGAATGGATCTCTAATACAGTGCTTTCGTAATGTACTGAGTAAATCAATTTTTAGCTGAACTATACATTTTTGTTGAATCTCCTGAAATAGGTAGTTTTTCTCAAATTTTCTCCATTTATAAGTCAAAATCAGATATACAGGGTTATCCACGTTTGAGGTGATATATTTTTGAAAAAGAACACCCGCTGTATTATTCCATTCTAGAAATCCGCATGAAAATCTGAATTAGAAAATATATTACACATACCGTTTGTTTACAGTGAGCCTGTTATATTTGAGTGCTCTCGTAAAGTGGTGAATAAATTCATTTTCAGACGAAATAATCATTTCTATGAAATCCCTTGAAACAGGTCGATTATTTTCTTCGATTCCACGCATGATGAGGAAAAAATTATTATGTTTGATCATTGACGTTAGTGATATGACATCCGCGACATGTTATCCGAATATTGATGAAATAAACCTCTGGTGTACGCACTTCAATCCTTTCCTGTTTTACAATTCCTTGATTTTCGCCTACTTCGATGAACATAACATGGCGTGGGTGAATGTCGCTAAATTTAGTCTGGTGCCGTACCAAAATTACAGGCATCAATGTGACAATTGTGACCGAATTGTGACCAATGAAGATAGGGAATACATTTTGCGATTTAGCCGCATCAAGGTTGGTAGAACTGATGTTGATCATAAGTTCTAAGAATCACGCCATCTAACATTCGATATGTGAACCCCACGTCATCGTCTGAAATTCAATTGTTTATATCAAGAACCAGTCTGACGAAACAAATGAAGAGTCAGCGCACCAGAGGTTTATTTCATCAATATCCGAATGATTCATTCAATTTTTGAAATCTCTATGGAATTGTGAATTCAAACATGCATATACAGTCTGTCCAAGATAAGGTTGCACAGCATGGGGATCTCGGAAACGGTAGGAGATAGGATGTCGGTTGAATAGGGAAAAAGTTGCGCATTCGGAGGCTCATACCAACAGCCTTCGAAAATTTTCAAATTTTTTTTTTAGTTTTTCAGTTATATCGAAAAAAGTGAATTTTTGGAATATCTATTTTATTTTTTTCTCCGTTATTATTAGAGATACAGGAAAACTGGAAATACTTTTTCATAGCAACTTTCGATGACGTTTAACGTGGTGATACTGATTTTTCTATGTGACGTTTCGTATTCGTAGAACCATCATCAACTTTTGTTTTTTGAACGAGGCCCTGATAACTCTTTCACAGATTCTGAAAAATTTTTTCGTTCTGAATTCGACTATGTATTAT